CAGGTTTACACTTTCAGTCTTCTTTGAAATAGAATTGTATGGTATTTTAAACTCTTAAGCCTTTAACAAAGGTTTTGCAATGTTTGGGAAAACTAACAACATTACAATTTACAAATTTCTTATACTTTTCTTTACTGAATTTCAAAGCATGAATTTTGACATAAGTGTGGTGAGACATCTTTGTTTCGCAGGGAATAATGGAGGGAATACTGCATATGAAACTGAATGTGTGATATGTAGTTCCAGGAAGTTAGAAATGAAGTGATCATTCCTATTGTTCAGCCACTCAGCAGGGGTATGGTCGGGGTCACCCTACTTGTGTGTGCTGGGACTGAAGGCAGCAGCCGTGGGGGAATGGGAATGTTCCTGTCTGCAAGCACAAAACAATAGATGAACTTCTGCTACATATTGTTCTTTTTCAAAAAGAAAGAAATTAACTCATTAAAACAGTAATTGACAATAGAACAAAAGTCATTCTGAAGGCATTGTCTTTGTACTGCTGTATTTAAATTATGGTACAGATGTTTTTAATAAGGCCTGTTCTATCATGATTTACATGCCTTAATTATTTTTTGTAACATTCTTTGGCATTTTAGCACAGTGAATGTCAATGCACTGACAAATAAAACTTTCACCTGGTTTGGATCAAGCACACAAAGACATGGAAAGAATTGATATCTCTGGTATGTAGTAACTAATCTTGAAAGAGAGGTTAAGAGAGACATTTTTAGAATCACTAGTGGCTTTCTAAGAATGATTAGCCTATTGTGATTTAGAGAGTGTTTCAAATCCCAAGTCAAAAGTTTCCTTTCATATGTAAAATTAACGTATTATCTGCAAGGAATCATTATTTATGAAAAGTTGAACAAAACACTTTTTAATTGGAATTTAATTATTTTTGCTATTAATTAGCAAGTTGAAATTATAAAAGAGTTCTAGACATTTAGATATGGTTTACGGCTTAAAAAATATGCATTAGACTTACTTAGATTGTTTTGGGTTGTTTTATACTACGTTTCAAAGCAATATTTCAAAACCTGTGTTTTACCTTAAAATTTGGGGTACAAGTTTGGGGTGGGTTTTTTGTGTTTTTTTTTTTTTTTTGTCTAGGAGGATTTTCAGTTTTATAAAAGTAAGGTGATTTCAGGTATATGTGCACCTTTTTTCCTTGAACAACCACAATTACATTCACCCTTTAATCTGTATATTCTGTAAACAGACAAAAGATATTTAAAAGCAAAAAATGACACTGAGTATTCCCAAATTTCTGACTCTTAGTTTTTAAGAGTGGAAGCCTGTATTTAATTTCAGTAGCTTAAAACATTTTTAGCTGTGTGATGCAGTGTTGTACTCAGGCATATTCATTTTATGTATTTGTTGTGATGACCATATCACTTCCTATGTGGTATAAGATACTGATTTGGGTATTTATTCACAGAAGTGCATGGTGAACGAGTGCCAAAATTATTTTTAATTCATTGTGTACGTTCTCACTGTCTGATTATATTATCTCTAGACAAATAAAAGGGAAAACCTGACTTTTCAACTGCTTTCTTTCAAACTCTGCTAACTTTTCAGAAGCTGTATTATTTACATCTGGCCTTTTGTGAAGAAGAGAGGATGCTCTTGTTGTCATTACAGAAGCATAAATGGATAAACTTAGGATCTTTCTGAATTTATATCTGCATCTGTGGTACTGGGTGTTGGTTGTCCTACTCCTTAAGGATCGTGTAACGTAAATTCTGTGTGTTTATAACAAACAGGAACTAAGAGGACAAAGACCACCACAGAACTGAATGCACAGCACACATTTTATTCTCATTAGCTGCTAAGTAAATTTGCAAATCATTTATATGTAGACCTCCCTCTACAGGATTGGAAGTAAGCTTCTAGTGTCTGTTTTAGATCAAAATTGAGTGTAAATTGTTTTGAAGTGCTAAGCCTTGTTTTTTTTTTTTTTTAACAACAAAAAAAAAGAATGGAAACTATGTACTGAAGAGGAATAACAAATATTGTTGATTGTAGTTTGTATAGTTTAATTACTTTGTAGTAATGAGTAGATGTGCAAGCAGTGTTCCTTTCTCTCCGGCTCATGCCAATTAGGATAAGGTTTCTAAATCTGTGCCTCATGTTCCAGCATCTGAATTAAGAGAGATTCTTTCTGGCACAGAGATCTCATGCCGTGTGACACATAGGGACGTTAGCGTGAGACAAAATTATACTTACAATTATTTCAGGGCTCCTCTGCTGCTCCCACACATGCTCTGAGAATAGTCCGAGGGGCTGCACGTGGCAGAAGCACCCTGCCAACCACACACTGTTGCTGGTACACTCCTGGAGACTGAAAATATTTATTTTCAGCATTTCACACCTCCCTCCTGTACTATTTCTATAGTTTCATTCTTCCTGGTATATCTGATGCATTGTCCTCAAGGTGATTTTGAAGGGAAAAATGTTGCTTTTTATATGTGCTAATGGCTGTAGTGATGTGAGTCTTCATTTAAAAATATGTGAGCGATGAGTAACGTAATGTGACTGGCACAAGTGGATCACTCCTCACTGCGATAAAGCAGAAAACCATAGGACCCTTCTGTGAGCAGTAACTCTTGTAAAAACTGTCAGCTTCTAAAATTAGGCATGAAATGCCATCACAGGAAGGTTTTCTCTTCAGGGCTTGCCCTTTCCAATTTACCGTAATCTTTGAGATAGAAGCACAGCCCTTTATTGGTTGCATAAATAAACCATTGGACTTGCTTCAGAGATAACACCCAATTTAAAGGTGAGATTGAATCAGTTGTTGAAAATAGTCTATTTGGAGAAGCTTAAATAGGTTCACATATCTTGGTGTCTCACTGAATTGATTTTTTTTCCACCTGCCATTTGTTCCTCTCGGAGAGAGAGGTAATGATTATTTCAGTAAAAATAGGAATGAAAACCCTTACATTACAAATGTCACCTTGACGTGCAGTTTTTTGGTTTGGTTTATTTTTTGGATGAGTTTGCATTTACTGTCATGTTATTTAATCTTAACTGATGATGATAAAAGCCTTTGTGAAGTCATTTTCCAGAGAGTTCTGTAAGGAAAAGAAAAGGCGTCTGGCCCACCAGCTTTGTTACTGGAAACACAGGAAAGGCCAGATGTGCACATTGTGCGAATTGCCAGCAACAACTGGAGTTGTTGGAGTGTATTTTAGAGAGGATTCTCTTTGGAATGCCTCATCTCTATCCTCAGCAGGTCTCCTGTCCATCAGCTATTTTATTTGTTTATAGTATTGTGTTCAATTTGTTTGTAATGTCTTCCTAAATACTTCAAGTGTGTTCTCCTGTAATGAGTTCTGATGAGTACTTCAGCGGTAAAGAGATGTTTGTGGCAGAAGCTGGGAAGTGTGATTTCATCTGTGCAAAAATGCCTTCGACTTTTAGTTCTGATTATTATTTTTTTTATTTTAATAGGACTTAAAATACTGAATTTTATCTAGAATAAGCCTAAAAGACTTGGTGAAGCTTTCAGATGTCAACACAGTTTCTTTTGAAATTTCTCACACATCTTTAGCCATGCTTAAACTAAAATCAAATGTGATTTCATTTTTTTTACATGCCATGTGGCTTTCTGTTTCACGTTACAAGCAGTGCTCAGACTAAATGTGTTGCATGAGATCGTATTACTGGTGGGGTTCATTAGTTATAAAAACAGATCCTGTTGATCATGTACACTTTATAAAATATGATAGGTTTCTTTCCTCTAAAAGTGAAGAGGTTGTAAACATACAATGAAGTAAGAATGTGATTCTATTACTTTGTTCTGATTAAAATAGAAACCATAAATGTTGATACCAAAACCAATGCAAGGAACTTTAGGATAAGCAGTAAACTGCTTTCATGTCCATGTTTCGTTTGATTGTCAAAATTGGATATGCTGGATCCTAAACTATAACATGCATGCAGGTACATGCATCTAAACAACAAGATGAAGAAATTCTGTTAAGCAATTGCAGTGCATGTTTCTATATGTGGAATTTAGCTTTTTAAGATACTACAGCGCTGTGACTTATTGTAGTAGAGGCACGTAGGAAAGCATATGCTGCATGGATGCTTGATTCTTTGCAAGTAGATTTCCTAAAAGCCAGCAGATAGCTCTGTTGTCTTGCCAGGCGGGTTTGGGGGTTCTGCAGTGCCAGCACTCATGGTCCTAGCTGCTGGGAAATGTCTGGAAATATGCCAAGTATGACAGAAGTGTCTGTCGTGAATTACATTACCACTGCGATTAGGGGAATTTGAGACAACCTGGAAAGACTGGACAGTACTCAATCCATGTTTGCTGGATACAGTACTGCTGTTATGAGTTTATGGTGCATGCACAAGTGTTGAATAGCCACCTTTTTGATGCTTTCATAAGGTTTAATAAGAAACAGGGTCTTCAGCTCTTCAAGGTTTATTCTTTTCATTTGAGTCTGGTGCGTGGAATGACTCTGTTGAGAAATGTTATTAATGTATTAACAATGTTAACAAAATGTATGCCAATATATTAATACAAAAACCATAATTCTGTGGCTTTTTAAATATCTTTAGCTTTTTGCTTGTGATTAACTTTGTTTTTACAAGCAAATGCTGCTGCATTTCAGCAGACAAGATCAAGTCTTAAGGGAGTTATACATATTTTGTCTGAGAGTCACATAGCTATTTCTTACCCAAAACTGTGCAAGATTTGCTTGGGTCTCACTAAGTCGCAACCCTACGATGTGTTGCTTCTTCTCCGTACACTGTTCTCTAGTGTTTGAAATTTAGAGTTTTTAAAAATGAGAGATTTTTAGGAATGTCTTAGATTAGAAATCTGGTTTTAGTCCTGTTCATTCTCCTTATCAGCTCAGTCACAGTGCAGGACATGTAAAAATTAATAGACATACCCTTTGTATTGTCATGTTTTGATGTTTTTCAGAGCTATCCAGCAACCAAGCAGGTGATGGCTTGATCATTCCACATTTCTTCTTGTCTTGTCTTAGGTTTTCTACCCTAGCAAAGATGGTACTAAGATCCCCATGTTTATTATTCACAAGAAAGGAATTAAATTGGACGGTTCTCATCCTGCCTTCTTGTATGGATATGGAGGCTTCAACATATCAATTACACCAAGCTACAGGTAAGCAGCAGGGTATTTTATACCTTCTGAAGCAATTCGATGTTAACAACTGTCAGAAGGGGCTGAGAGCTGGCTGGACTGTGGATCTGCAGAGTTGAGGGTTTCAGGTCCTTGAGAAGTAAGATGGAATTGCAAGGGCTGCAGATCAGAGTCCAGGCATCATATGTTTGTTTTGATAGTTCTAAATTCAAGGGACTGGCCCAGAATCACAGAAGAAATTTCTGTCAGAGTAGAGAAGTGCTGTACTCTTGTCAAGTTTGCAGCAGGCACCCTACTCTGTGAATTATAGCTTAACCATTTCCTGCTTTGTCACTGAGCTCAACAGAAAAGACATAATGCATTAAAATGCTGAGCTGATAGTATAGGAAATTTCCTTTTTACCAACTGTGTCTTAAGTATTAAAGAAAATTCTTGTGTACTGTAAATTGTGAAAATTCAGATGTATTTTCATATACATCTGAGAAGATTGTGAAAAGCAAAATCATACTGTGTTCCTGTATAATCAAAAAGAGAAAAGATTAATTTTGTCAAGAGGTAGGTTTGATACAGGCTCTGCATATGCAAAGCAATGCATTGTAAACCAAAAATGCTGTTTGCAAAACAGGATTTGTAGCTCTCCAAAGCCATAACCTATATTGAATAGATGTCCTCTTTAAAGAAAGGGCTTATTTCCTCTGTGAGGGAATTCAAATAGACTTAGCAAAAGTGGCACTGATTGTCTTAGAGCTTTGATGTATAACTGTTGTTTCTAAGCAAGGCAGAAGTAAACAGAAATGCAAAGGGCTGAATGGAACACTGTATTTCATATAGAAGAGCAGCTCACTAATACAAAAATAATCTAATATCAAACCATGCTGTTAAGTTTGTGTGCTACCAGTCTTCTTTTAGAGTCAGTGTATTTCAAGAAATTTTTTGTAGTATTAGCTCTTCCAGGTCACTGTGGTTGTATTTCTAAGTAGGATTTACAGTCTCTGGTGGTCTATATCAAGTACCTTGTCCAACAATGGACCTCACATCTTGCAGTCTGTGATTACTGGAAAGTATTTTATATGCCTTGTAAAGCTACATTTTTAATTTCCTGTGGTTTTTGTGAGACAATTATATAACCAGAATAGGTTTTAAATTCCCTTTTAGATTAGACTCAAGCACTGATTTATTATGGTCTATTGTAGATGCTGAAAACTGCGATAAAACTGATCGTGTTTTCTTTTCTAAAGTAAATATAATGTATTTATTGATTTGGGATAAAATTTCATGTGCTGCAGAGCCAACGTGAGTTGGCTGCTGGCAAAAGGAGTGGAAAGTATCCCATGGTCCCTTGTTCCACCTCCTTTCGTTAGCCCTGACATTAGCTGGAACTTTTGGTAAGCTCATTACTCTCACAAGGGTGGCAAACTATCCTAGCAAAAAGGATGGGTGGTTTTCTGCCACTTGGGCAGGTTGAAATTTGACTTGTAGGAGTCCAGCATTAGCAAGGAGCAAGAAAGTGTAGCTAACAGAAGGGAGGATGGGAGAAAGGGACAAGTGACCTATATATTTTGGAGCCCCATGAAACTGTACTCTTAAACAGTGAATTAAATAAGAGTATGAATCTGTAACCATACCATAGAAGAAGCACAGAGAACTATCAGTTCTAAGAGACTCTATGTTACTCCACTAACAGTGTGAAGAAGACAGAGGTGAGCTGCATCTACTTGCTCATTCTTTCCTTGTAACAGGAATACATCCCTTCTTAGCCTTTCAAAAAAGAGAAAGATCAAAGCCTCGGAATGTATCTTTATTGTTAATAAACTCAGAGGTGCACACTTGTTGAGGAAGAACATTCTGGAAGTAAGCAGGCAAGATCAGGAAAGGAAATTGTAATAGAGAAGTTATGTAAGAAAGACAGGACTTCCATACCTAGTAAGTTCAATGCGTGACTATGTCCCTGTTACTAAATAGTACAGTATGCAGGAGTAGTTCCCAGTCCAACAGGTCCTATTGCAGCCCAACACCACACCATTTAAAAAATTTTTTTTTTTTTAATAGATGAACTCAGGCACAATTGCTCAAAAAGAGCCACAGGATGGTCAAGGCTGAAGTCTGCCACATATCTCACCTGACCCTGAGCTGAGACAGTTACGGAAATGCAATTACATAGTAGCCTACTTACACACACACACACAAGACCATTCTATTTCTGGGTAAATATTCTTTTTTTTTTTAATTTGAACTTAAGGCTTTTGTAACTTTCTACAGAATGTTCCTACTTCTCCTATCATAGAATCATCTTGGTCAGAAAAGACCTTTAGGATCACCAAGTCCAACCTTCAGTCTGACCTACCACATCCCTTGGTGCCACATTCGCACAACTCATAAATACCTGGTTCGTTTTTAGACTACTGATTATTTTCAGTGACCATCTTCTGTCCTATACTTCTAGTCAGTAAAATATTTTCTTGCTGATATTTTGCATCCATCAATGTGAGCTAGCTCTTGGGCTTGGGAAACTTTTTTTTTATTCAAAAAGTGATATTGCTTTTCACTTATTCTCCAATACACACACAAAAAGTCTTTTCCCCTGAAAGCAACAGAAACAAATCAACAAGGGGATCCAAAAATAACTATGAGAATGATAGGCCAAAGTCATTAAGTCAGTTACAGCAGTGTTTTATTTTTGAATGCAAGCATGCATCTTTTATGTGTTCCCCTGGACCAAAGAGCTGTATTTGGTAGCATTTCTAAAATGTGCACACTAGAGCACTGTCATTAATTATATACAGCCTGCATAGTGAGTGCAAGTTAAAATTGATGGAATTGGCACCTGTGGCTTGGCAGATCTTCTGTGGTAACACTATTGCAAACCCACCAATAATGCCTCAGATTCTGCTAATTACACTGCAGGAATCAGCTTGTTTCCCTGTACTGTTCTGTGGGTGCCTCTGCAGGTGCAGTAGAAACAATTTCTCATGCGCCCAGAAATACAATTGATTGTGAAGCAGACTGTGAAATTGTATTTCACTGCTACAGGGTCAGATTCGACCAAGCCTTTAAGCATGGAGGTGGTGTAGGGAAAGTCTGTAAGCCCACAGAAAGGTCAAGCAACACCACAGCCAATGGTGCAGAATGCAAGATCACTAGATCGCTCTTTTCTGTTTCTCTTTTACAATTGCCTCCTGCCCCATAAAAGCCAACGAAGTCCAGTGACTCAGGGATTATGGGATTTTTTCCTTACCACCAGTGCACCAGCCTGCATTTTTCCAAAGGAAGTTGCAACCATCAGCTGATGAGGAAATGGCTGTAAAGGCTGTCAGAGGGAAAAGGGAGCCAGACTTCTCCATACAGAAGGATACAATTTCTAGACATCCAAGGCTACTGAACAGTTTACTGTGACTTACACAACAAGCTGACTTGAAATCAAATCTGGAAACAAGAATTTACCTGGAAGAACAGGAGAAAATAGCAGGGTTTGGATAAAAGTTAAATTTTGTGCTGATAATTTCAGATTTTTACTTTCTTAAAAGTTAGTCTATTTTAATTCCTTGAATTTAAAATTGACTTTGAGAAACCTTGTTATAAACACTAGGCACTTCCGCCTCAAAATATCAGTCAAGTTAGAGTCGTCTCACTTTATTACTGATCATAAATTGGGTATTAATTAATAGTTATTTGCAGTGGCATTACTAGATGTTTGTGTTGAGAATGTATGGTTGTAACATTATCAGAAGTGCCTAAATTCCAGTTGTACCAATGAGAGTGAACACAGATATACTAAGCCTTACTTACATTTTTTGCAACGTAATGATTATTTCAATCTCTGGACTTTATCCTAGTGAGGGTCTGTGGAATTGAAAGAGAATTTGCTAAGGGAAATGGAGACTAGCTTCGTATAATCAAGTGACTGCATTAGGGACTCTTCTGAAATTCAATATCTTAGGAGATGACAAGTCACTTTCAGGCCCTCTGAAAATTATCGCCAAGGTAGCACCTCTGTTAGAGGAGCCTCCATGAACATGATGCACTCAAGAATTTGGTTTCATGTTGCTCAGATTATTTGATTAAATATGTTGACTCTTCAGATAGGCAGTTTCCTTTTCAGAAGATGGAAAGGGGTGGCATGTTTTATTTTTAAAATAATCTCAGACAATATGTTTGGGTAGCAAATTCATACCTCACCTTCAATTCCTCTTCCTTGCATCTTTGGTTGGTTACTCGGTCAAGTAAGTAGTACCCAAACTTTCTATTGATTCTGCCTGAGACAGAGACGTGGAAAAGTAGTGCAGAGTGTTCTGTGAGATTTTGTAGCAAAATTTAAGAAGCCACCATCTTATGGAACAAGCTACTGTGAGACTACTGTACATTATCAATGAATTAACCTGTAGAAATTGGACATCCTTGAGTTTGACAGAATAATGCTCTCTGACCTTTGCACAGTATGCTTATGGAATATCAATCTTACCAATAATCAGCATGTCCCAGTGATCAAAGGAAAAATACTGTTCACAGTGATGGACTTAAGAATTTTACAGAAGCAGAGATCATTCATGCCATCTGATTGCCACAGACAGCCGATCTAGGCAGAATTTTTTTTTCTGACAGATTATAAAAATGCGAAAGTCTTATTATTTGTCATCTTTCTGCTTTTTTTCTTTATTTTCTTAATCCTTGGCACATATGTCAAGACCAAGTGCCAATACATATGGAATTGCTTTGTGAGGTATGGAACATTTACTTGTTTTGGTATTACATCCATGTGAGAAATGCTGTAAGACAGCTGTCTTTCAGGACATTTCAGATGAGCATTAGGGAGGGGCTTAAAGGTAAAAAGACCTAAGCCTTGCTCTTACGGTTGAATTTAGTTTTTGCAGGCAGCAGTCTCTTGCATAAGCAAAAAATTCAAGTAAGAAAGAAAATTTAAGTAAATTCAACTAAAAAAGAAATTTAAACCTACTAGGAAAAAAAAAAAAAAAGACTTGTTGGTCTTAAGTTTGAATATTTACTGTTCTCCTTAACAATAAAGGAGATGGTTTTAAGTCTGGAGCTTCCACTATGTTAAGCTACTGCCTCAATACATGAGAGATAAATATATCTTCTTAGTTGTTAAATATAACCTAAATTACTTAAATACCTTTTTTAATAATATTAATAGCTTTTATACTTTTTGCAGTTTGACGTTTAAGAAAAAATCATGTTACTTCAGCCTTCAGCCAGGTTTGAGAGCTATTAGGGAAGGCAGAACTTTTCATTTTTACTTTTTATATTTAACAAATCAAGTGGAAAATATGAGGAACAGGATTGACTAAGACTTGACTGCAGAGCCTGGCACAAAACAAGGACAAATACAGTTTTATTAAGGTCAAAGAAAAAGCATGAAGCAGAAGTTGTATATATCAGCCCATAAACAAATGTCACGTGTTGATCATGTGCTGATCGTTATTATTAATGCTTTGCTTTCTTCATTTGGGCTAAACTTTCCTTTCTTGGAAGAGTGAAGGACCCACTGAAAGGCAGCAGTTAAAAAGCCTTGGGGGTCCAGTGGTACTGCATAACTTACTTTATGTTCCAGAGGAGCCAGTAGACATTCTCCTCAAGGGTGTGAAACTAAAGAAGAGCAGAACAGCTCTGGTTTCCTTTAAGAGGCTGCAAAGTGTTTCATTTCCACTGACAACCATTGAAAAGAACCTGGCTACTTAGGTTTGCCATCAGAGCAGTACTTTATTCATCATTTTGTCATTGATCTTAGGACTTTCCTTCAAAGTATTTTTCTGAAAGTGGTAGGAATACAAGTAGTTAGAAATAAATACTAATAATAATTCTCTGCTTGCTTTTTCAGTGTGTCAAGACTTATTTTTGTGCGACACCTGGGGGGTGTTCTAGCAGTGGCGAACATCAGGGGTGGTGGTGAATATGGAGAGACCTGGCACAAAGGTAAATCAGTCCAAGCACAGGAACAAAACTGCAGGTCTAACACTGAGGCTGACAACGTTTTCGTTTTGTCCCTCTTCCATACTCAAGTCTCATTTCACCTTACATTTATTCCATAGAAAAGTCGGATTCTTTTTCTTATTCATGTGATCTCTACCTTACCCAGTGTTATCTGAAATTTTCAGTGGATTTTCAATGAATTTTTTGCATCCTAATTTGAATGGCTTTGCAGAAAGTATTTTCCAAGATAGTGAAAGCTTTTATATTTTAAAAGCAAGATCAATTTCCTAGATAATAGGATTGGAAATCCAGCTATTTGTCATGAACAGTCTTCCAAACAAAGACTGTCTGAACTGCAAGAGATTTGCCTTGCCTTTACATATCTCTTACGTTACTTGTAATGCACATGACCCCACAATGACCCCACAGTTCTAGATATGTAAGACAGTGCAACAATCTATTTAGTTTTTATTGGTATCACAGAAAGAAATTAACCATTTGCAAAACCTTATAGAAGGTATGAACTTTGGAGTTCAGAATGTAATTCTGCTAGGTTTGTATGTTAGAAAACAAACATCAACAGAATTGATTTTACACAATTTATGAATAAATCCTTTATTAGTGAGTGAGTGAGATAGTTTTCATATGATCTTTAATCAGCTCCATGAGTGACATGTCATGCACTCTGTACTTAGGAGGTACAACTTGTAGGTAGACGTTTTTTAAGTGACTTCAGTGTTCCATGTCACTTCTTAGCACCTTTAAAGTATTTCTCTCCATATTTTTCCAGTACAATCCTCACTTAAATCCTTTGTTTGTCAGCTTTTCTGATTGTTGACAATTTTCTGCATGCCTTCACCAGAAGGAAAAGCTGAAGAAAGTCCCTCTCACCACCATTGTTTGGTGATGATGTCTTACTCATATCCCAAGAGTCTGGAGGATAAGTTGCTAGAAATCTTGTCAGTAAGGCAAATGCACCAGAACAATGATGATGCAACAATTTGCACGGGGAGTAATCTATAATAACTTTGTATCAAACATAACAGTATTCCCAGATCATTACATCTTGATATTACCATTTCATCTGTGGTAACTTTTTGTCTGGGTCATTTCCTTACAATTGAGTTAAGAAGTAATGGTTTCATAAATAGAAGCTATATGTGATTGTAGATGCAGGATATTATTGCTGGAGATGAAGTATCCTTCATTAATTTTAATTTGCAGATTGGTTTGTAATAGGTTTTAATAAAATTTATTTTAATGTGATAATGCTCCTTTATTCCACCTATTTCCTGCTTAATTTTGACCCAAGTCTTTTGTGCAGTTGCAAAAATAGATATACATCTGTTCTTTGCTAACTCTAGAAGCAATTACAGGTTTACTGTATGGATTTTGACCTTACGCTAGTTCAAAACTTGAAGGAAAAAGTAAGATTTATTTATTTCTCCTTTGCTGCCATGCATCTGAAGACTTTTTCCTTGTCCCAACACGTCTTTCTTCAATGATCTTATTAGTATGAAAGTATTTGTTTGTTATAATGCTCACAATTCCACAAGGAAATCTGTATGATTAAAGTCTGGAGTTACCTTACTCAAATTTTGCAACGTAGGAATGCAGCATCCAATTTAAGTTGGTTGTGTAGGGTCATTAATGGATGATGGAAATAAGCACCTTCATATTATATCTAATCCTGGAGGTGGGGTTAATTATCCTGAACCATAGTGGGAGCCTGGGCAATTAGTTTAGGCTAAGCCACTTGGCTTTAAACTAAGTGGAAGGAAATAGAGTTCCATTTCTGCCAGGTACGAGCCCCTCTTCCCTGACTGTACCACAGTCTTTCCTTCGGGAATGTAAAGATATTCTCCCCGGACTGTTACAAATGTTTAATTGTCTGAGAAGTAATGTACCAGATCTAAGGTAGGGTGATCTTTGAGGAGGAACCATTTTTTAGTTCCTTACCAAACAAGCATCTGAAGAGAGGAAGATGCCAGTACTGAGATTGGGTCATCTGTGAGCCCTCTAGGTTGATATTCTTTCCACACTGATAGCTCACTAATAAAATTTCTAACCAAGATGCAGTTCTGAATTTCTTATTTGACCACAGCTACATATCATCTGATTTGGAAACATAATAGAAAAAAAGGTAAATTATCAGCCATTCTTTGTAAAGGAAATTAAAGTGCTTATTTTATATGGGCGCAAATTTGAAGTTTTATCGCCTTAAGAAACTGTCACTGAGTTTAATGCTGTTAATGTCCCATTAGATCAAGCCTCAAGTGGATTGTGTGGTTATTTTGTATATATTTTGTAATGCAAAGCTTTTAGCTTTAATATTACTGGTTTGGAATGTTACCTGGTGGTCATTCCACAGTGTAAGTATGTATTATTCAGCGTTTCTGAAAGCATTAGAGTTATTGACAAAGCCATTTCGTATTCTTTGTGTTGAAAGAATATTTCACTTTTGCTGTCTTTCTGATCTGCATCAATTATTAAAATGTTCATGAAACTGGAATTGTTCCCAGGTATTTTTGCACACGTGTTTTTCTGAAGAGATGGATTCACATGGGTTTTATGGAATCAACTGATTTGTTTTATTTGTGTGCTAGGTGGTATCTTGGCCAACAAACAGAATTGCTTTGATGACTTTCAGTATGCTGCCAAATACCTCATCGAAGAGGGCTACACGTCTCCAAAGAAGCTGACTATTAATGGAGGTTCAAATGGAGGCCTCTTAGTTGGTAAGAACTGCTTGTATATTTCCTGGCTTTGGTACTGTAGTTTATCAAAGTAACCAAACAAATATATTAGAATCTTTGTTTCAAGAGTTGCCAGAATGCCTGTGCATTAATATATACCAAGCATTAAATATATACAGTTCTACTCTATTTGCCATTTACAAGACATTAGGATTCTGCAGCAAATACTGGCTGCAGTACTTGTGATTACTGTCTTGTTTGCTAGAGCTAACCCCTTGGTAGAATCACAGAGTAAGAATGCATTAAAAAAAATCTGTTTTTCATCTCTTAAGTTCATCTCTGATTAGTATAAAACAATAACTGAATAACCAGAAAACCTGTTATGTGACATTCAGGAATTTTTGTGTGCCTATGGCATAAGCCAGAATCCCAAGTTCTGCAGTACTTCATTAGAGCTTCTTATTCTGTCTTTCTGTAGTCATGCATTCTCATTCCTAGAGGAGAAAATGATAACGTGACGTTGCTGCATTTAAGGCCTTTGTACAAGGACACGTGACTGACTTTAATCGTGTAGTTAAGACAGGTGACAAATAAATCCAGGAATGTCTCTTGTGCAAAACACTAAATTCAAGGACTTTTGAGGATTATGTAAATGTAATGCTGTTACAAGTGTATTTCGTTCACTGCTATGTTCTTAAATTTAAGGAAATTAATAGTCTTCTTAGAAAAAGTTGCACAGAAAATCTTATACTCAAGGCAGTGTTTTAAAAGCTACATTTATTTTTGATTATATCCTAGTTTCTAAAAGTGGTAGAATAAAAAAGAGTTACTTGTTTCGGTCGTGGCAGGAGAAGGAAACACAAAAGAACAATGTGGTTAGTTTGGTTTATTTTAAAAACAACATGAGAGACATGAGACAGTATGACCGAGATGATCTACTCATGAGAAAAGCATCTAGTTTATTGGAAATGAGATTTATTAGGACCACCCTTTGCATGCTCTGCTCTACTCTCTATTTAACAGCTGCTGAATAACTGACTGTTGATTTTTTGTCGTTGTTGTTGTTTTACAGTGAACTAGTATCTTGTATAAGAAATGAGATGTGGAGTTATACAGCATTTTAATCTGTGCTATCTTGGCCACAACAACGTTTTAAAGACAAACATGTAATGTCATATTTTTGCATATTTGCTTCTCAGATGGCAGAAGGTGTTTGTGTACTGTAAACACCACCAATAGGAATGGATGAAAAAAAAAAATAGAGGAAAAAAGGTTTTACACATCATTGGGAGTACAACCACTACAAAAGTCCATGTTATGTGAGCACAGTTATATATGTATGAAAATTCTGTTAAACTTCCGATTTATTACATTGCTTCTGCACCTACTGTTTTATCCTTACTTGGACTTCAGTTTCAGTCAGGATGGGATTCATCCTACCTTGCTTTAGTCACCAAAAAAATCTGTTTCTTCATGAAAAGTCAGCTGGGCACCTTCTTTAGGTTAGGGAAAGTGAGTGCAGAGTGCATGTCATGTCTGTATTAGACGGATGCTGTGAGTCTAGATGCCTCTGTTGTGAAAGTCTAGTGTTAGAAACCTATTGTAATTGCTGACTAATTACAGTCCATCTGGATTTCTTTGTTCTTAATGAGACAGATTAAAATAGGTGAATTTAGGAAATACAAAAGTGCTTTTTCAACTTAAATTTTGCAGTAGCTGTTCATACAACACTGGCAAGCATAACTGTTACATTAAGTGCAAGCATCCAGAGCCAGATTTTCTTAGTTTTCATTTTCTGAGGGGGAAAAAAAAAATTATAAGGAAGAGTATTGTTATTCTTCCAAAATACTGTTTCTTTTTAATCTTAACTAACAGGAGGTGTCTCTGAGGAGCACAGGGCTCTGAACTCTTGCCTCATTGAGTTGAGAAACAATACTTCCTTGTCCTGCAGGATATGATCCCAAAGCTCAGCATTGCAGCACAGCTGTGACCTGAAAGCCTCTTTCATGCAAATGCAGCATTTGTCCCCCTGTGTTTGCTTAGGCAAACAGTTCTGAGGCTTTGATACCAAATTTTAAAGCTCAATGTGTAGAGGGATAAAATTAATGAATAAATTGTTGTTCCAGGTTACAGCATATAATTATGGCTAACAAAAGGGGTGTAATGGGAACTGATAAGTGGCTCCAAAACTGTTTGTTTTCTTACTGAAGTAACTATCCTAAGAGCTAGGAGCAGCAGTTTTGATACAATTCTGAGCAATGCACAGTCCTTCAAGAGATGTTTTACAATGAGGAATTGAATGAATTCAATCTTACGATAGGTGTTTTGGCTTTTTTTTCCAGCCAGAATAGCATTTCTCTTCAAAAAAGGAAATGACTTGAAAAGATCTGATTGAAAGATTCAGTTAAAAGGATGAAGAACTTTTAGACAATAGCCTTATATAAGAAAAAGACCCAGGAAGTGTAGTTACATATCAGAGATGACTAGACGTAAAATAACATCCTCCAGAAAACAGAAATAAGGAGAAAATAGGTTAAAATAAGAAAATAGGTTAAAAATAAGCTTTGACAGGGACTGATGGACCACAGGAGGCTGTGCAAATTGCTAACAACATAAATGTTGGTAATAAAAACTTTCTGTGTGTGTCAGAAGCAGGAAGCTGACCAGAACATCTCTGGGGCTGTGCAGGAGCACTAAATAAAGATAATGACGGAACAGAACAAGGAAATGGTTCATTTTTATTGATGTTCCTTTCTACAGAGCATTGGGATTTCCCTTCACCAGTCTCTCCTTGTGGGTGATACTCTGAGGAGTTGCCTCAAGCTGAAGCATTAGCAGAAGAGGTTTTAGAATAAATCAAATGAAAAATCATGTCTTGCCAGGACCAGATGGTACACACACAAGATCCTAAATGAATTCCAATGTGAAATTGCAGACTGCTAAGCCTGAATGTCTGATGAACAGAAGGGGACAAGTTTAATGCCAATTTTTTAAATGGTTAATGGCTAACCACAAACTGCAGATCAGTAAAACTGACTTCTGTAACAGACAAGCCAATTGAAACCAATAAATAATAGTTGACATGCATGGGGAAGAATTTTGCAGGCTGAAGTTGTATCTTGAAATTTTAGAGCTATTTGAAGGAGTCAAGGAGCATATGGTGCATGTAACAGTGATCTGGCTATTCTTGGATTTTCATAAGCTTTTCACAAGATCTCAAGACTTTAAAAGAAAGTTCTTGTTGAGTTGGATGGAAGGTTGCTGTTGCAAAAGAAAGCAAAGAATGGGAAAAAATAATCTATTTTCACAGTGGACAAAAATGAGAAGCTGACAAATTTGAAAAAGACTATATCTGGGTTTGGATGTACAGTTTGGATGAATTAAGGAAGGGATCCTTTGTGGTAGTTAAATGAAAATCTAGGTACTTCTAGGTATTCTAGGTATTTCTTATGCTACAAAAAAAGTGTAGGGAATTTGTAAAATCATCTGGCAGATTTAAATCAAGCAACAAGTTGGAATTGAAGAACTCGTTGCTGCAAGATATCATAACAATAGATGAATAAACATTAAGAAAGGAAATAGATGTATTTATGGAGGATACTTGTTTTGATGGCTGAGGATAAACTCCAACTCAGGAGAAACCAACTGACTTGTTGCAAAAGCTGACAATGTACAGGAAATCTCTCAGTATTTTCTGTATTTAAAGCTTTTTCCAGAGCATCTGCCAGTTGTAACTCTTGTAAATTGAACATGGAGCTAGGTGGGCCTAGTCTGGTTATTTTTTGTAATATGAGACAACCGTTATTCTTAAAGAAATTGTGCCTTCCAGAAGTAGGGAAATGAAAATAATAAAAAGAAAAAAATACGGCAGTAACTTTTTTTAAAAATTAAAATGAGGTTATTCCTCTGATTTTGTAAAAGCTTGCTTTCATTAGAACTCTTTTTATATGAATTGATGTGGTAATTATGGAAGAAAACTTATCAGTAAATGGAGAATTTTCTTCTTAATGTCCTTTTCTTTGTTGACAATAATGTTAGAAAATGAATGGTTCAGCACACTTCAATTTCAGTAATCCATAAGTTCACATATTTAACACGTGCATTTTTCCTAGCAAACTCAGTCTGCTAGTTTGGAAGACGTATTTGCTAAGAACTGTGTTTAGTGCTTCAAGAGGAAATAGCTCTTAAGTTCTTTAGAAAATATCAGCTTTGATAATTATAATTGTTATCCATTTCTATGTTTGCTTTCATTTTTTTCTTAAATGACTGTTTCATTTCATATACACTGGCAGACTTCTCTCATTGCAATTGGTTTTATTTTGGATATTTTGTATTCAAGTTCTTTGGCTTCAGATATTACATGGGAAATCCATATTTCTTATCATGTTGTTTTACCTTAACAATTTTCTGGGTTGTTTTGTTTTGTTTTTTCCCCCTGACGATAATTTACTGTTATTGGACCTTTTATTGCTGATATCTTTCTTTAAGATATTAATACTAATAGAGTTGTTTTCTTGTCAAAGCTGCCTGTGCTAATCAGCGTCCTGACCTCTTTGGCTGTGTTATTGCCCAAGTGGGAGTGATGGATATGCTCAAGTTCCACAAGTACACCATTGGCCATGCTTGGACTACTGACTACGGTTGCTCTGACCATAAAGAGCAGTTTGAATGGCTATGCAAGTAAGTATCTTTAAATATTTCTGTCACTGTTAAAATGCAATTTCTGCTCAACAGTCTCAGGTTGTCATGATAAATAACTATTATTATTAGCTAATATGAATTATTTCATTCTTTTCTGACATTGGATTTATGGAGTTTAGAGTTTCTTTACAAGTCAACTTCACACGAGAACAACTCTCGTCAAGGCCCTGTTGAGTTAACTGATTATAGTTTCTGAGACCATATTCTAGTAGCAGCTTTAACCATCTGTTAGGTACTCTTTCTAAACAATACCTGCTCTAGGCTGTCACAACAGAGAGTTTTCTCAAGTGAACCACTAAGTAAATTGTATTTTTTATGATGGGGTAGAGAAAATGACCATTATTAACTGTATTATACAATGTAGATAGGATTTATTTGTAGGAATTGAATGGCAGTAGACCACAATAGGATATTAATTCAGTAAAAAAAGATTATTTAGAAGAGCAAAATAAAACAGGCACTGTGAGAGCATAGCAATGGTCTGCACATTTGATATAGTCACTAACGACTGTGTTAAAATATGTTCCATCATTTAAAATTATTTTTCTGGCATCTCATCTCCTGTTACTGTAATTGTATTCCTTCAATAATGAAGATTGGCATTACAGGACAATGCTGCAGTAGTTTAAAAAAATGTAAATTTTCCTGCAAAGAAAACAAGCTTTCTTAGTAAGATAATTTCTTACTCAAAAAGTATGAATCAGTCATCTATCAAGACCCATAAAACTTACAGTTCTTTTTTCAGTTTCCTGCATGATATTCTTCCAGAGTACCTTCATGTTCAAAAGTGGTATAAATATTGGTGGGAACAAATTTTGGTAAATGTATACAGAACTTGTTTTTCACTATCAGAAACTGTTTTGTATGGAAAAGAGCCATTTATTCACATGCAGACCTGGAAATACATGTGTGTGCTGGAAAAAAGTCTTCATCTCCTTGCTTCGCTGCAGAACAGATCCTGCTATGAGCTTTACAGCTTCTGTTGTTCTTTCCCTTTGCCCATTCCTGCTATTTTGATATTTCTGTGAGATGTATGCATACATCCTCTGTAAGTTAATGTATTTCTTCACATTTGAGAGCTAGTGATTTGTTATGTCATTTGCCAGTAGTGCAGTCCTGGTATGTGCAATGGGGAATTGTAGAATTGAGTGCTATCAAATGTCCCTGTGATAGTTTCAATGGGGGTGGACCTTCTTACTGGATCTTGAGGAGAAAATATATAAATGTTTGTCTGTTCTTCTCAGGTATTCTCCACTTCACAATGTTAAACTACCAGAAGAAGATGGCATCCAGTATCCCTCTACACTGCTTCTCACAGCAGACCATGATGATCGTGTGGTCCCTCTACACTCACTGAAGTTTATTGCTACTCTGCAATATGTTGTGGGCCGAAGCCGTAAACAGACCAACCCACTTCTCATCCATGTTGACACCAAAGCTGGACATGGAGCAGGAAAGCCAACTGCTAAAGTTATAGAAGAAGTGTCAGATATGTTTGCTTTTATAGCACGTTGCCTAAATCTTGATTGGATTGAATAGGCAAAATGCTTATTACTGTCTCCTTTAGGAAAAAAAGAAGGGCTTTAACACCATTTAAGACCAACCAGATACTACTTGGTGTAGTACTTACATTTAAGAACTGCAGTTCAATATTTTATTGATCCAACCTGCTATGGAATTTTGATCTGTGCTTCCCTTTTTTTAGAATTTCTTTGAATTTCTTTTCTACTGCGTTTCAAAGTACATATTAAGTAGCATGTTCAAATACATAGCTGAGCTACTGTCAGTGTTGTTGTGAACATCTAGATTCCAGATTTAGTGTTAGCTGAGCTGATTTCATGTAAACAATTTTAATGTATTTTACATCTATCAGCATATCCAGATAATTTGTAATTAAATGTAAGTACTGTCCACATGCAAGAACTCTGAGCATACTTTATTTACACAGTAACTTATTTAAGAATGGAAATGTAAAATGTTCTTTGGTAATCATGAAATATTGAGGAGATAGTCTAGGTAATTAATTACCCAGATATTATTAAAAAAATTGTATTATTTCATACTGTTTGTAACAGTGTATTACAGTCTATAATAATGTTGCTAAATTGTCTTTTCTTACCACAAAAACTTGAAAATGTCCATTTTCTCTTCTGTTATTTATTTTCACAAAGAAGAGAAAATTGGAGGCAGGAAAACTTGAAGAATATTGAGTTTGAATACTCAGTTATCAGTCAAGGTACGCGTATACACTTCACAGTTGTTGCCTGTCTACTGTTAACTCTTCAACTATTTTTAAACTGTAGACAGATTTGTCTAGATTGTTCAAATTCAGATTTTCCCAATGCATATGACAGGATATTCTTTAAGGTGCCAAAATTTGAAGATACATACATGACTTTGTCTTGGCTGCAAAACAACAAAAGCACATAAGCAAACTCCCTAATGATTTGACATGCACACAACACCTGAACTGTTATTTCATTAATTTGAATAGGTTGTAGAGCTATTAAATATGAGTAGAAGTTGTCTAGTAGTAGTTGTCTAAACTGTGACATGCTGCAGCAAGTAGATTTTGATTTTGGGGACAGAAAGGTTTTCTACCATTCACTATTAGTCTTGTTCCCATCAAGCAAATACTACTGCTTCTCAGTTTTGGATAAACTGATACACTCTTCCAGTTTTGTGTTTGTCATCATATTCATACTTGGATCCCAAGGCTTTTGGAATTTTTGAGCTATTTGAGCTCTGAGCTCAGGAGCTTTATCTCTAAGCAAGTAAAGTCTCAACTTGGGAAGAGGGAGTGGTATTTAAAAAGTGAGTAGGCTGCTGATTATCTGTACCAAATTCATATTGTTTCTTTCACTCTCAGGGACTTTTCCTGATTCACTCTGTAGCTTGGGAAGGATCATGCCTCCAAAGCCCTTATAAAGTATAATCTGATTTGGGGGGATAGAAGGGGTTGGAGAAGAAGAATTTATGCTTTCATAACCAGTACCATACCGATAAACCTGTATGTGATTTGGGGCTTATTTGTGAACCCTGGACATTATTTTTACCAAATAATGTATGGATTGCTGTATTTGATCACAGCACCGAATTGAACAATCAGACTAGAGAGTTGAGGGATTTTTTTTTTTATTCCTCCACGCTGTGAAAGTGGAGTTCAGGTTCAGCCTCTCACCCTGACCTTTTTCCCATAGACATGTGAACTATTTTCTAAGATCATTTTGGAATTTTTAACAGCTGTGCTTTAGGGGCTGGAATGAAGCTGATGATAGAAAGCTGGGACGAGTGTCTGGCACACCAGAAGGCTGTGCTGCAATTTGGCAAGACTTTGAAAGGCTGGAGAGTTGGGCAGAGAGGAGCACTATGCAGTTCACTGAGGGCAAGAATCCTACATCTGGGAAGGAATAAGCACACATATCAGTACAGGTTAGGGGCTGACCTGCTGGAAAGGAGCTCTGCAGAAAAGGACCTGGGAGTCCTAGTGGGCAACAGGCTGGCCATGAAATAGCAGTGTGCCATTATGGTCAAGGAGGCCAATGGAATCCTGGGATGCATTAAAAGGAGCATGGCCAGCTGGTCGATGGAGGTGATCCTCTCCTTCTGCTCTGCCCTGGTGAGGCCTCACCTGGAGTACTGTGTCCAGTTCTGGGCTCCTCAGCTCAAGAAAGACAGAGAACTTCTAGAGAGAGTGCAATGGAGGGCCACGAAGAGGTTGTGGGACCTGGAGCATCTCGCTTGTGAAGAAAGGCTGAGACACATGGGACTGTTCAGCCTGGAGAAGACTAAGTGGAGATCTTACCAATACTTATAAATATCTGAAGGAAGGGTGTCTAATGGATGGAGCTGGGCTCTTTTTGGTGATGCCCAGCAACAGAACAGGGGGAATGAACACAAACAGGAGCATAGGAAGTTCCATCTGAACATTTGGAAAAACTTCTTTATTGTGAGGGTGACAGACCACTGGAACAGGCTGCCCAGAGAGGTTGTGGAGTCTCCTTCTCTGGAGATATTCAAAACCTGTCTTGATGCTTTCCTCTGTAACATGCTGTATAGAACCTGCTTTATCCAGGCGTTGAACTACGTGATCTTCAGTGGTCCCTTCCAGCCCCTACAGTCCTGTGCTCCTGTGATGCACAAGTGCAGTGCCATCTTTGAAAGTAACACCCCAGAGAATCTGGACTCTTCTTGAATGTTATGATATCAACAGGGCAGAGTTTTTCTCTAAGCGAGAACTTTGCTTGATAGGGTTTGTAGAAAGCAGGATCCTTGGATAACTGTGAAATTGAGCTAAATTGTATCAGCACCTTGAATCTCAAATCCTTGAGCACAGCCACCTCAGTCATCTTTTCAGCCTTTGTCTTACCTTGTTCTGTAGCTGCTCAAACACATTTTTTTTCTTTCTGTTTTTACCAGTAGTAAGTTGTGGAGTTTGGAAACAAACATTTCTCTTTGAGTGGCAATTGAGAGTACTGAAGGTGGAGCTCCCAGTCACAAAGTTAATGTTCAGGATTCCCACTGTAAAAAGCTGCTATCTCTATTAGAAAGGCATTTTGTTTCAATAGTAAGGTCTTAATTGTGATATTTTAATTGATCTTAAGTAGGTATTCTAAGTACAAGATTCTGGTTTCAAAAAAGTGATCTTGCAGAGCTGTCCTATTGACTGCATTGCTCCTTCTAGTACAGAAAGGATGATGGCCCCACATGGAATCCATGTTAATTCCAAGCAAGTAATACAGGAGTAATACACTGGAATTTAAACCTTTAAGGTTTCAATTAAATAGACCTGGAACCAAACAATTCCTGGTGTAGAAAACCATAATGAAATTTCAGCTAATCTGCTTTCAAGGGGAGCAGTGGTAATGCTATTTCACAGAGAGGCTGTGTGTTCTGTGCCTTTTATTTCCAGTGCATGAAGCAAATTTCACTCGAGTCCTATAAGAGTCTTATGTTATATAAGCTAAAATCTGTTTTTAAGTGGAAATAAATGAACTTTTCACACGGTACTCCCTTCCAATATTCTTCACAGCTAATGTAAAGATATCTTAGTTGTCTTTGCCTCCATTAGAATCAGAGTTTATATATGTGAAAAGAGTTGGAAGTATTTTAAAAATGTTGAGTCTTCATATCCTTCATAAGAAAGAGCAAATTAATTTCCCTCATAGTGGAGTTGATTTAACTTTTGGTATCTGAGGAAAAAAGACAACCTGAGTATAGATGGATGCTGAACCCTCCCCACCAGTATAACCACCAGCATCTAAGGGAAGAAGGAGGGCAGTTGGCTGTGGGTATGTAAGAGTAAGGAATGGTTAAGACAGAATTTGGAAACACCTGTTCCCACACCCAGCACTTCTCCTGTTTCACCAGGGTTTTCTTGACGTGAGTTTTCTTGGCCATCTGTCTGTAGGAAGGCAGAAACATGAGCAGCAGTTCTTTGGATTTGATACAGCAAGCAACAGCTTTCAGATATCTATGTTTGAAAGGTGATGTCAGGTCGTTTAATTTTAGCCAAAGGCAGCGTCTCAGGGCTGCCTGAAGATCTGCATATAGACTCTTCCTGTCAGCCTCTCCTGTGAAAGGGGTTTTCCAAGCTGAGTAGGATTTGGGGGGTGGGCTGAGGGAGGCGCTTGGAAGCCAAGCTAATAAACAAGCACCCAGTTTTCTGCCAAGCTCTTCTACTTTGAAAGCCTTTAGTTAGACAGCTTATGTGCAATTGCCTCTTTGTGCAGACCTCTCAGGATTTGGATAGTTCATGCTGTTTGAACAGCCAGGTTTGGCAACTTTTTACAGTTCTCCATATGTTCTTTTAATTATTTTTGCCTTGCTATTATTGTGTGCCAGGAAAATAAAAAGCATTTCTCCAGTTTTTTTTTCCCCTTACTATTGAGGAAAGGGGAGGTGAGGTAGCCTTCCAATTCTCTCATCTATGAAGATAGCCAAAGTGTATCTCAGACAGTGCTACTCCTGAATAATCTTATACTGTTTCTAAACAATCTCACACCTTCCACATGTTCATGGCAGAGGGATCCCTGTGATGGAGTCCCTGAGTGGAAGTTAGACCAGCTGCTGGCATCTGGAGAAATAATATGAAGTTCTGGATTATGAGGACTGTGATTTGGCATTTTTCCCTTAATCTGTCATAAGAAAACGAATGGAAAATTCAACTCTTAAACCCAAAGCTGAGCAATATCAGCATCTCTGCTCTGTAGATACCCCTCTACATTTGTAGCAGGAGTAACAGAGGCAAGGAACAAATGTGCTTGCATCCTTACCCATAGCAGGGTAAATTTAATTTTGGAGGTCTGAATAGTGAGGGTTAATCAATTAATGGTGGTTTTCACTAAAGATTTCTGGCTTCCACAGCAAATGCAACATGAGAGCTGGAGTCAATGGATCGATGTCTGCAAATGTGACATTTCTGGCCTGGTGTGTGCTGCTCAGAAGAAAAATGTTGGTGTGTGTGTTCTGCTTTCAGCATGTATCAGGCCTTCTGTGTGCAAAAAGGAAGGAGATGTTGTTCTTGAATGCCTCAAAGTGTATTTTAGCTAGCATGCATGTTAGAGAGGCATCTGATAGTGCTAGCTAAAGCATTAACCTAGACATTTGTTTGTAACCTAAGCAGTGCCCAAAAATATTGTCTGTAATTTTCATCTTAACATTACTGTAAAAATATAGCAGAAATAATCTGATGAAAAGCAAGAGAACTTAATTTTGTAGTATCCATGTTGTCCTACCCTTTCAATGTATTAGATGAATGTTTATTTTCCAAGTTCCAAAATAAACATTCCCCCAGAAATGGAGAGGGGTGGAATTCCTGGGTTTAGGAAATGAGGTAAGATCACACACCACGCAGACCCAGCCATAAATTGAGCAACACAAAATATCTTAATTCAGCAGAGGCACCTGAGCTCATAGGTGGAAATTCCACTTAGTTCTTAAAACCTTCATTTTTACGTTACTTTTCTTTCCCTGTGAAGAGATGTACTTCACCTCTAACAGTTCCTCATATTAAATATTAAATTACAGTGCATTTCTGGAAGTTCTTCACTATGAGACTGGTGAGGTGCTGCAACAGGCTGCCCAGAGAGGTTGTGGATGCCCCATCCCTGGAGGTGTTCAAGGTCAGGTTGGAGGGGCCCTGGGCAGCCTGGTCTAGTATTAAATGGGGAGGTTGGTGGCCCTGCATGTGGCAGGGGGGTTGGAGATTCATGATCCTTGAGGTCCCTTCCAACCCTGGCCATTCTGTGATTTCAGTGATGCTATCAAATATATTCTCCTGCAGGACTTCAAAAGCATCAAAAGACGAGTAAGAGCTAAAAAATTAGCAGTAACTTTGAGTAACTACGAGCATACTAAATAACAGAGGAATTTATTCATTAGTTATATGCCTGTTAATGCAGTTCTTTAGGAGCTTGGATGAGATTGCTTAGCTGATGAAAGCACTTATTTCTGTGCTGCTTAATGCTTTGAGGCTGTCTTCTGGTGTGCATCATGAGCATGTCACTGGAGCAGCAAATGAAGCACTGCAGTGTGGGCTGTTGTTTCCTTTCTGGGAAAGAAGTTGAGTAAAGTGTTGGGGCATTTCACTATTCAGAATCTTTTAGAGTGGTAACAGGAGCAGAAAATACATCGTGAGATGATTATTGCAAATGAAACGGTGTTATTTCTCAACAGATTATGATGTTTTCTGAAAGCGTTGTATTTCAGAGGAAGTTCTGCTGTAGTAAAACATGCTTTGAGCGGTACATATGTGCAAGTATCTATTTCAGTAACTTGGCAAAACTGTTAAGCACTCATGTTTATTGTTAATAATTAATATTCTGCTGTTTTGCACTGACGTTGTTTTCTGATTTTAGTTTAAAGCTCCTCAGCATGAAAGGTGTCTTTTCATCATGAGCATACAACTGACATAAAACTGTAAACCTATGACTGCTTACAATGACTCAAGGTATGGTTTACTTTTCATCTCACATTCCACAAGATAGGCATGTATATTAGGAAGACTTCACCTTATTGCCAGAAAAGTGAAATAAACCTTTATGATCACTGCCTGCAAATTGCAGAGCTTGGGAAGCCTCTGTCATTAATTGCAAACACTTCCAGCTATATTTTGAAATTAAAGGCAAAACTTTTTGTAATTAGAGATGCTCAGACCTCCTGAGCTTTGAGAAAGTACAGATCCCCATCTTACCTCTGCAATAGCACCCATCCCTCAAAGACTGAAAGCAAAAGAAGTCATTCTTGAAATTCCCCATATTTGCAGTGCAGTTATCCTCCAGCACTAGCTTGCAGAGCATTGACTGCCAAGCACAAACTGGAAAACATCCTCTTCTCACAGATGCCAATCACTCGCACAACAACCCAGTCATTAAACAGTTTGCTGCCATGGGCCAGCTGCCCATCCTTTCTGCTCGTTGGAACCTTCCAAAGTCTTCAACTTGCCAGAGGAAGTAGATGGAGGAGGAAGGGTTCAGAAGTATAAAATTGCTTCTAGCTAATAAATTAGAAACCCTGTCGAGACCATTTCATTAGAGGCTTTGAACAGTATTTGTTGTTTTTTATGCTGGTTCCCTTTGGTGAGAATTAGGCAGCCAGTCTTGCCAAGTGGTGCCAGTAATGCTGGGTCAGAGGAAGGATGATGTCACCTGGAAAGGTATTCTATAGCAGATGCTTTCTGTTCATAGATTTAACACCAACATGTGTTGATTTCTGCTGTACTTATCTAATTAGGATTATTTTGAGGGAATAGCCATCAGAACATCAACAGCGGAGGATGTCATAGAGCCCATCTAGTCCCTCAGAGAGGCTGTATGCCTCGTATGGGTGCAAGACAGTTATTGCAGCAGGACCTCTCCAAAACGTGGGGAGCAATCACTAGCCAAATCTAGAAGTGGCACATCTCAGAGGATAGCAGTATAGGAACTCTGTATCTTTCTTGTCAGAGACACAGACCTATGGAGCCTGTACTTGTAGAGCTGAAGGAAGAGCTGTCCTCCAAGCAGTCAGAGGCTGGCTTTGGGATGTGTTGGCTGTAACTCATCCCAAGTTCCCACACTGACCATCACACTGGTGCCTAGCTGCAGTCACTGATCTATAGAGTTCTCTGTTGATCTGTTATTTTGGAACCTGAGGATAAAGGACTTAAGGGGTGTGACAGACTGAATCAAATAACTGTTCAGATATTTAACCTTGCTCTGCAGGCCTAGATGCAAAAGTGGGCTGCCTGCAGGCCAAGGTGCCAGAGGGCAGCCTCCTTCAGCAGTGGAGGGCAGGTTTTGGTTGGGAGACCTGGCCCTCTGTATGTGGCTGGAAAGGCACAGCAGCCTCCTGCTGAGCCTCCACCACATTGCTAACCTAAGGGATTTAGGGATCTCAGTCTCCCGTGATATCAGGAAGCACTGGAGAGATGTGAGCAGGGAGACATTAGGTCCAGCCGAGGAGTCCACACAGGAGACACGAGGAGATCTGTTCAAGCAGATCAACCACGTATGTAAAGCTTGTGTCTTGTAGCTCCTGCCTTGGGTCTGCCTTTACCTGATGTGCCCCATCGTGAAAAGTTTCATAGCTCTTTAAATAAATAAATCCTTCATCCTTTCAACACTTTCAGCACTGCAGGCATCTGGTCAGATTCAAACAGCTGGTGATAAATCATCCTGGCAAAAAAAAACATTTTCTGCTTTCTCTCATGTGTCCCCACATGCAATATTCTTACATCTGACACCAGCCCTGAGGCAGAAGTTGGGTGGTAATCGTTTTTGCTTGGCTGCTGCTTTAAAATTCAGAGGTCTCACAGGGCCACAGTCTCCCTGCCCCACAGGAGCATGGTGCTATTGTGTGGGCAAAGCCCTGGGCAGGATCCTGGCAACCTCCCAAATGCAGAGCTCCAAGGTGGCCTGGGAGGAGGATTCCTGGGATGAAGGCTGGGAGGAGAGCTGCTTCTGGGGGGTATTTCATGCCCTGTGCCAGAATAATGCCAGCGCTTAATACAGGTCTCATCTTCAGCAGGACACTGGGAGCTGTGTTTGAAGCATGAGATTTCTTGGACTTTCTGCCCTTCTTTAGCAGAGGACATGAATGTTGCCAAATTTCAGGGGCAAACCTCTCTCTTCCTTTAAGTATAAACATCCCCTGCGCTCAAAGCTTTTTTTTTTCCCTGAATTTATTAATGCACTCATCTCATTGTGAGTTTCTTCCACCATTCAGAATGGCAACAGATGTCTAGAGATCCTAATCACTCACATGTTCAAGCCCTAGAAGGCTGTGAAAGATATCTGGGGGATCGTGTCATTCTTGTCTCCAGCACAAATGTTGTTGGAATGCAACGCCAGCCTGGAAGCCAGCTTCCCAGGGAGCTGGGAGTGCAGTGGGGAGGTGAGTGAACAGGCCTTCAGGAACAGTTCCTACCTCCGTGCAGGGACCCCCAACCTCCCCAGGCCTTGCTGAGCACTTCCCAAAGACAGGAAGGGCTGCCAGGTCCTTTACATAAGCAGTACTGCTGTGCTGTACCACACAAGGACACAGCATCGCAGACTGGCTGAAGCTGCTGGGACCTCTGGGACCATCCCAATCCAGCAGAGACACCCACAGCAGGGTGTCCAGGCCCACATCCAGGTGGCTTCTGAAGATCTCAAGGAGGAGACTTCACAGACTCTGGGCAGCTTCTGTCAGTGCTCCATCACCCACACAGGGGCTAGAAGGGGACAAGGCAAGTAGAGCCTGACCCTGCTGCTGAACCAACAAGGCCTGCTGCTTAGTGCAGAGAAGTCCATCTTGTTGGACTGACAGTCCAGAACAGGGCAGGACCTCCAGATACCAAGGGAGTTTCTTGGCCTGAGTGGGAGTCATTGCTGGGAAGAAGCAGTGAATTGATGGGTTTCTGAATGGCAGTTCTAGGCTTAAATACTTAATGCCTGCCTGACTCCAGTTTCAGGTTCTTAAATACCGCTGTTGACTCTGAGCCTATATCTAACAGCAGCCTCACTCTCCCCATTCTGCCATTCTATTGTCTCTGCACAGTATTACACACTGCAAGAATACTGTTTTCCTTACGTGCTCTGCACTCCACAAGGTGCTCTCCTCTTTTCTAATTCAAGCTGTGAGTGCTCATTTTTCATTCTTCACACTCCTTGCTGTTTTAACCTTGCCTGTTCCTTGAATTATCTGGAGCTTCAGCATGCAGGAGCTACTATGAAGCCTATGGCAAAAACATGCTGCAGGCTCATACGCACATAGAGACCTTTCCTTGGGGCTTTGGCTTAATTTTCTCTCTGCTTTGTTCCTGATTGCTCATTAGAAAGGCAGAAAGCCCTTGAGCCAATTTCCAAAGACTGGCCGTACCCACTGGGTGACATATGGCTCCCACAGACGTGGTCCTCCAAAGGACTGTGCCTCACTCAAATTGTATTTCTGGGATGCAGTGAGGATGTCAGGCAACGCTTCTGTTTTCAGTGAATGACTGGCTCTCACGCACTGGGAATCTTTGGTGTCAGCATTACACTTCCCATTCAGCCCTCTGGTTTTCATGTCTGCTCTCAATGCACTTTCACAGTCTTCTGCTAATTCTAGAGGTTGTCTTTTGCAGAAGGAGTTTCTAAGCTGCCCTGGCTCGGGTAAATCTTTCCTCAGAGCTGCCACTCTGCAGGACTCTCCTCCCAGGCTGGCAGGCTCCCACTCCAGCAATGCTTTTGCCGCTGCAGCAGCTCATCACAGCCATTGTTGTGGACGCGCAGCCTTGGGGATAATTAGGCTTTCCACTATAAAGGACCTCCAGTTCTCATTATTTCATCCTTTATGGTGGCACAGAGAATATGTCTGCCTAGTTTTACATTTTCTTGTTCTCATTTCAGGTAAGCAAATCCACACAGATCTAATAAAAGTGAACCACTGTTCCCTTGCCTCTTGTTTTCAGTACTGGAAACTAAGAACTGTCAGCAAAAGACAGTCCTCATCCAAGACATAAGAACCAGTGCCTGTCTTCCTCTTCAGGCAATGAGCTTCCAGAATGAACCCAAAAAAACAAATGCAAATGGGGCTGATGGAGGGCCCGTGCCCTGGGGAGAAGGTCTATCAAGAAATTTC